CACCCGAGGGCCCGGGTCCCGTTCTCCGAGGGGTCCGGGTCCCGTTCTCCGAGGGGTCCGGGCCCCGTTCTCCCGGGCCCGGGACCCATCCACCAGGGGCCCGCGCCCCGTTCTCCCAGGAATCCGGGCCCCATTCTCCCGGGGGCCCGGGTCCCGTTCTCCCGGGGCCCGGGTCCAATCCAACCGGGGGCCCGGGTCCAATCCAACCGGGGGCCCGGGCCCCGGGGCTCCATCCACCCGGGGCCCGGGTCCGTTCTCCCGGGCCCGGGCCCATCCACCAGGGTCCGGGCTCCGTCCACCCGGGCCCGGGCCCCGTTCTCCCGGGGGCCCGGGCCCCGTTCTTCCGGGGGCCCGGGTCCAATCCACCCGGGGGCCCGGGCCCCGGGGCTTCATCCACCCGGGGCCCGGGCTCAATCCACCCGGGGCCCGGGCCTCGTTCTCCCGGGGGCCCGGCCCCATCCACCCGGGGGCCCGGGCCTCGTTCTCCCGGAGGGCCGGGCTCCATCCACCCGGGGCCCGGGCCCATCCACAGGGGCCCGGGCTCCATCCACCCGGGGGCCCGGGCCCCTTGCACCTGGGGCCCATGGACCCTCACCCGTGGTGTCCCAGTAGGCATTTCTCGAAACGGGCTCGTCCGATTAGATTAGGACCTCTCTCCTCCCTCCCTCCCTCCCTCCCTCTCCCTCTCCCTCTCCCTCTCCCTCTCCCTCTCTCTCTCTCTCTCTCTCTCTCTCTCTCTCTCTCTCTCTTTTTCGCTATCCCAGAGCGGGCCCCTGACAGAAATTTCGGGGGGGTCAGCTGACCCTCTGACCCCCCCCTGGCTGCGCCACTGATCGGAGAGTATGCTGCTGCAAATGCCACGCGTGCGCACAGAACTCGCTCGCCGTGCATTTATGTGCCGGGCTACCACCGCCTGGAACCGCCTGCCAGCCGAGCTCAGGAGGAGTCGTTTACTGTGTCACCCACGGAGGTGAATCGCGAGACATGGGGAGTAGATGTGCTCAGTTTTATCGCATTTTAGCAATTTATAGTGATTTTTAAACCATCATTTTTTCGTGTTTTATGAACATGTTCACTGTGTTTAACTAATGTACTGACTCTGAAATCGGAAGAGCCACGATGTGGAGATTTTTATGAATACAATACATACGTCATACATACATACATACACAAACGCACAACGAGAAGGCGGCAGCAACATGGAAATATAAACCATAACAGGACTGTTCCTCATGAGATTGATTAGCCTGCTCGGGCTTCTCATCCAAATTACCCCAGAACAGCCCTCATGGCCTTCTCACAGATGCATACAGTGACTGTTCAGTAAGAGGAGTAGGAGGGTGGCGAGCAGCAGGAGGGCGCCAATGGGTAGAAGGGGGGGGGGGGCATGGCCCATTGCCCTGCTGTTAACCCTTGCCGCGCTGGGCTATTCCACCATACGCGTCATGCTGGGGGGGGAGGGCAGATTCTGCCCCCCCCCCCCGTCTTACTTCCGAACCGATGATCGTAGAAAGACGAGAAAACGGCAATGGACACCTCTCAACAGGACGGATCTTTTGAGCCAATATGTTTTGCCTTAAGAGCTCAGAGGTCAGGTCAAGGTCAGGGCAAGGGTGCAAAATGCAAGTCTCTACATTATCGGCTTTGGAGCGCAGTTGGAGAAGAAGGGACTGCGATTGATTGCCCAAAACGTGTTTTTAGGCTACCAAGATAAGATGCGTTGCAAACGATGTCATTCCTCATGCCTGATGTCAAGGTCAAGGTCTAGGTCTGGTCAGTTCACCATGAAATGAAATATACGAGAGGACAAGTGCGACAGAGTTTCATTGGTCATTTTATTCATATAATTCAATGGGCATACTCAATTAGTGATATGGACCATATCCATGGATGAATACCAGGTCGAGGTCAGGTCAAGGTCAGATCAAGTGAGGTCAAATTTTGAAGTTGACTGTAAAAACTCAAAAGGTGTCTATATGCTGCATGTTTTTCACGGCGAATCGAATGGTGCCATTTTTGTTCCTGTATGAGGGCTAGAACTTCCAAAATGTTATTTTTTAAAGTTGGTGTGTCGTGATGTCATAAAAAGTTGAATGAACTAGGTACCTACTGCTACATTTTCAGTCGATTCTTCAAAAATGAGAATGTAGGTTCACAGAATCTAATTATCCAACAATTATTATTTATTCCGTGTTTTTCGACAAGCTCAAATTTTTGGATTTATCTTTACAATGATTTTCCACCAAAAATCATTTTGGACAAAGTTTAAGCCACATTCCAACATTCTCGAAAAACCGAGATAGCCATTTGAAAGACAAAGCAGAATCACGTACCTACATTATTTTTGTTACGTCTCGATTCCTTAAAAAAAAAACTGAAGATGTTAGGAGTGTTTGAAGTTTTGCAGTTTTTCAAGCGGAAATGGCGTGATATGACGCAACTAAACCGCCATTTCCTCCCAGAGTTTGCGATGGATTTCTATTTTGTTGAAATTTTCCGGGAGCATGTCAAATCAAATATCAATGTATGGTAAAGGTAAGGTAGGTAGGTACCTACTGAAAATTTGACGTCGCGAGCTTAGCGCGCTTAGAAGCTATTGGCGAAACACGGGAGGGGGCAGGTTTTGCCCCCCCCCCCCCACCCCGTCGTGTTTCGAGTCGTGTTTAGAGCATCTCATTAAGCTGAATGAGTGCACCATGGTCTCATGTAGTAGGTATATGTAGGTACTAGGTAGGTATATAGGCCTTGCAACGTGGCTCAAAACGTCTCAGCTTGGATTTTCGACGAGAACCTTTGTTGACCCTAGCGGTGAAGGGACGTACCATTGGTTCACCGTTTCGACGGCAGGTGACAGCTTATGCTTGCTGACTTATGTGCCGTCAGATACCTAACCGACCGCCAGTGATGCTTGGCCAATGTCCTTGTCCATGCGTCTTATGGTGGGTAGGTTGCATGACACATGACTGATGACAACGCATATTGAGTATTGCATTTATGCCTACTTTATATGTTATATTGTTAGCCGTTACAACTACACTTAAGGTCGAGAAAAATTTGACGGGTTCGGACTCGGGACGGTCCAGCCTTAGCGATTCCTTCCCCTGGTTTCCAATTACCTACCTACTTTATATGGTATTCAGCCCTTAGAAGTAGCTATGCGTAGCTTAGCTTCAGTTGCAACCGATATGGCTTAATCCTCGCCCTGGCAGGGCATTTTTCATAACACGGCCGGCCTGGCAGGGGGGGAGGTGATGCGACCCCCCTCGCGATTGGCTCCTATGGCACCTAGAAACACCAAATTTGGTGGATAGGTGGGCCCCCAGGAGTTCTCTCCCTTGTGCAAATTTGGTTGCTCTTGGTCAATATTTAGGGGGTTTTGAGGGGTATGAATGTAAAAATTTCGCTAAAAACAGGTCAAAAGATTTTTCCTATAACTTTTGATCTAATCAAGATAGAGCTAAAAGAAAAGCACCAGTGAACTCAACACTTTAAGGCGCGTCGAATGATATGCTTCTTTGATTGCTTAATTGTACTTAAAAAGTTAAGCACATCTTAAGCACAACTTAAGTCTTAAGAATGGTCGAAATGCTTAATTTTGCATATCATTCGACTCGGCTCTTCAAGAGGAATATAATGATACCACTTTAAAAGCTGTATCTTTATTATGTGACAAGTTATTGGCACAAACGTCATTTGACCTCAGTTGACCTCATTTGACCTGAACCATGGATAAGTACACCAAACAAAGAAGCACCGAGTGACATAATGTTAAGTACTGAGGTTTCAAAGCACAAAAGTGATGAAACGAAGCGGATATCTCCAGTATTTTCCGAATTGAATATTTCCCCAAGGCTTAACATTACGACGTAATGACCTCTAACTGACCTCAGGTCAGTGATGTAAAAAAAACGAACTATATGTTATACAACTCGGTGAACTTAGCACATCCTGAAAGTTTGAAGGAAATCAGTCCAAAACTGTGAGTTGGACAGGTGCATAAAGAAAATTGAAATTTGACCATGACCTTGTACCGGTTTTTCTGACCTGGTGACCTGAACCAAGGTCACCCGGACCTGACATTTTCAGGCCATACGTAAAAAGGCTGCCCCATAGGCTGTGCCAAATTTGGCGGCGCTGTGCGCCGCCGTTTTTACGCTATCTTCGAAAAACCTTAGGGGGGGTTCCATCGACCCCCCCCTGCCAGGGCGAGGGTCAGCGGTGTAACTTTCTATATGGATCCCCTGAAAATGCACCCCCATCACGTCAAAGTGCACCCCCATGGGCTAAGCGGCGCCCCACACGCGTCCCGACACCGATAAGTTCTTAAGCAGATGGCGAGGGTGATTTTTCTGGCTACATTCTGTCTCGTGACCGGCGTCGTGCTGCTTGTGGGCCTGGAAAGCGTTCAAGGTCAGGTCATCAGGTCAGGTCATTCAAGGTCAAATGACCTTACCTCAGGAAAACTTACAATACTTGCTATTACAGGGTGTCCGGAAAGTCCTGGCGCCTCTTTTGGACGCCGTCTAACGCGCGCTGTGATTATTGGACATTCAGCCAATCACCAGACATGACCCCTCGTTGACCGCTCAGCTAGAGGTCGTGTAAATATGACCCTGGAATCGTGTTCAGTGATGGGTAAATGGACAAAGATGCGCCTTGTCGCTGAATGCCTGCGCGCGGCGGCCGGGTGCGACTTGAACGAGGCGCGAGTTGTAGCGCAATGTGGCGTTTTTCGATGAATGGTTAAGCAGGTAAAGGTTTATTCCGACTCGGGGATTCCTTAGAAAATATCCTCAGGCTGGTACGACCGCGGTATGCCAAAACTGCCTAGAACGGAGGAGCATTTCAGCGCGGCAATCGAAGAAAGTGCGGGGGTCTGATGAACAAAAATGTCCCATCATCTTCGTCAATGTCGAATAGCGCTTATCTCAGAAATGTAATATTGGTGACCTAAGGTTAGGTCAAGTAGGCCGAGTGCTAACTACTCTACAAAGTTCAAAGAACTTGTTATACTATATGTGTACATGTTTATTTAAAAAAGATCAACTATATATCAATTCAAACATACATCAACAATGCATTCAAACATGTCAGCTGAAACTCGCACACATGCGTCTATCACAAGTTGCTACTGAATTCAACATAAACATTTATGCGCATTTATGAGATCCTGTTAATAAGTAAATGTTTCACACATGCTTATGAACATGTGCTTATTGAAACTATTCGGTAGAAAATATCTGGTAATACTTGGCAGCATTGTAAATACACCGTATGACCTTATAGTTCCAGTCACCAGGTAACGATGAAAACAACAAATTAGTTGTGTCAGGTACCTGAGAGTTGGCTGGACCCGCCCGCGGGCCAGCCTGCACGTAACAAGCAGCAGCAGCAGCAGCAGCAGCAGCAGCGGCAGCTAGTAGTAGAAGCTGTCGGCCACGCACTGGCCGTTGATACAGTGCAGGCCGCGGCCGCAGGCGGAGCCCTCTGCCGCCGGCCGGTACGACACGCAGTAGCCGCTGGACGGCTCGAAGCAGTACAGCTCAGCGCACACGCGGTGGTCCTTGAAGCAAGCGCTCGAGCCGCGGTCCCGCTTGCACTGCGCGTCCACGGTCATCAGCTTGCCGGGCAGCTTCTTGGCCGACGGCAGGCTGGCCGGTTTCTTGGCGTGGTTGTGCATGCACTTTGAACGCTTGTCGTTGGCGAAGTGGGCGAACTGATTGAGACTGCACACCGACCACTTGAGGCCCTTGTGGTCGCGCCGCATGTCGGACATGATGTAGCCGTCCTTCCAGGGACAAGAGCGGGCTCCCGGCCCGCCCAGGTACGCTGCCGGCGGTGAGCCATCGTGCACGGCTCCCAGCAGATGTCCGATCTCGTGCGCGGCCACGATGATGCCGGAGAAACCAGTCGAATCCTCTACCAGAGCCACCGAGTTGATCTTTTTGTGGTAGTTGCTGATGCTGCAACCACCGCCGACGTATGCGTAGCCAGCCGTCACTTTGTTGCAGGTGCCTCTGCCGTTTCTGCGCGTGCACATGTCACGTTTCGTTATAACCATGGCAGCATCGTAGGTGGGGAACCGCTTTTCGTTGAACAAGTACTTGCCGATGGAAGAGAGAGCGTTGACGGCGTCCAGATCTGTGCTTGTTACCATGTGCTTCTCCAGATATGGGGTGGCTTCCTTGGATTTGCTGATGACGATGCCGGCCACCTTGATGGTGATGGACGGCTGCTCGGCAGACTTGTAGCGCAAATCAACAGCGTTCATGAAGGTCATCATGTAGCGTTTCACGGCCTTGGCATCAAAGTTGTGCGCCTCGTATGTCTGATAGTCGACTATCAGTAGCACCTCTGGGTAGAGTGACGGCGTGCTGCGCTTGTTGCGGCTGGGCGACTCGTCCGTCACAGAGTCTTCACTGGCTGCCGGCTCCTTCTCCACCAGCAGCGAAGAATCTTCGTGGTCGATGGGAGCCGAGCCGGTGGACGACGACGGCGAGGCGGCGCGCTTGTAGATGACGTGCAGTCCTCGTGTGACCGGCGGTGTCGAGCGGCGCTGGCGTAGCCGGGCCGTGCTCTCGTGGCTCTCGGACTCGTCCAGCGGCTCCTGGTCGTCAGCCAGCAGCGCGTCGTCGTCATGGGACGACGGGTAGTGGTGGTGCACGTGCCTCGGTGCCGGCGCGATCACCAGGTCGGACACCACGCCGTTCAGCTGCAGCGTGTCGTCGTCGGCGTGGTTGACCAGCAGCGCCGCCTCGCGACTTATGTCCTGGTACGGCTCGCCCACGTACATGTCCGTGTCGCCCTCGACGCGCTCGATGTTGATGTCGCTGCCGGCGCCGTCGGCGTAGAAGAGCCGGATGCGGTTATCGATCTCGCGGTTCATCTCCAGGTCCAGGTCGATCTGGTCACCGAACGCTTGCACGTGAACGCTGCGCCGGTGCCGACCGTTGAGGCTGCGCTTTCGTCTGGAGCTCACGTGGAAGAGGTCGTACTCTGGCACGTCCTCGTGGCGCTCGACGGCGAACACGTGGCGCAGCTCGTCCACGGAGAGGTGGAGATGCAGCGTGTGCCGCGGGGCTGTGTGTGAGGCGGCCGTGGCCAGCTCGTCCGCAGAGGACGCCTGGAGGGCCCCAAAACAGCTCAGCAGCGCCAGGGTTGAGGACAGAGTGTGCGCCATTTCGGTGAAAATCTGCGGCACACTCGTTCCCAGTCGGAGAAGGACCTGGGCCCTGTGGAGTCGGTGTGCGACTTGCCAACACTTCCCTATGTTGCGCTATATGTACGTTTGCGTTCGAGAGGAACCGCCCAATGGCGGTCGCCGCGCGGTGTGACGTCACCTGGCGCGCCCCGCAGCCCTGATTGACGACGTCATCAGCGGGCGCCGCGCGCGGCACGTGTGCGCTGCTCGACAGAAGAACGGATCACTGGCGCGAGAGTGCGTCCCGTGGCGCCGCTCCCCGTGCGTAGACGGGAAGTCGACAAACCAACTCGGCAGACACTGGCCGGGTGTTTTGATTACACTTGACGCTCCCTGAGTTGAAAATGGATGATATGTTTCTCACCTGGGACGGTGATTCTAAACGTTGGCGAAGGTGATGTTCTTTCAGTGAGACGTGTCAGGGTTTTGCGCAGGACGCTGATTCGATTTGATTTTGATTTATAAGATTATATGCATCATTCACATTTTGGCGGTTTAATGCCCTTCTCCTTCCCTCTCAAACCATGCATGCCTATATAAATCGTACCTATATATCTACCTACAGCTGCACTTGGCTTTGTAAATATAGTGTTCTTTACTAATGTTAAAATGATTTGTTCGCCATTCAGTGTCAATGTCCTTAAGCGATATTCTTATTGTACCCAAGGTCCAGCGAGGCCTTTTATTTGCATAGGTGCTTATTTTAAGAGAAACATGTTTTATATCGGAGTCCGTTGAAAACTTTTGCTCTCCTCTTTGTTATTCCTTTCCCAGGTGCTGCTTGTCACTCGTATCGAACGTTATTGAGTATTTTAGTTTAGCCAAAGAACTGAACTGGTGCTGAGCTTTTAGTTATAACGCGTTTATTATTGATGCATATGTAATAGGTACCTATACATGATACGTGGACTTTGTATAGCACTTCTGATAACACATGTTATTCAGGTGGAAATGGGTACTTTCATTGAAATAATGATCAATAGATAATACATGTAGGAAGATAAACCACATGCAGGTACACAACCGATACAACTGGTTTGTAACGGCAGGTAAAAATCACGACACTGTTTCTGTCGATGATAAGTTGCGCCACAATCACAGCACTGCTAAAGTCACCTCACACAGTTCAGCTTAACCAAGGAATACACTATTTTGCAGCTGTCTCTAACATACACGCATTTCCGGTGCCGGCATCACAGCATCCTAATACACAAACACGCCTTATCTACATACACACCCCCTGCATCACATCAGCCGGAATAATGGTGCCTGGGAACACCGCCGCCCCCTCGGTCGTCCGGCCCCATCCAGCGCCGATTATGGACCCGGCGCAGAGACCGCATTACTGACCCGCAGACAGGCCCGGCTCCGGTCCACCGCCGGGGTCCTCGTCCACCCAGAGGGACGGGGACGGCTGCTATCACCGGCCACACATGGCCGTCCGCCGGCCGCCGCACCCAGCGCCGGTCACTGGTCACTAGCAGGGCCGGTACTGGCGCATCAGGGTGATCTCCAGGTCAAACACCTGCTTCAACGCGCCGATCCAGCACCGGTTCTGGTCGAAATCGTAAAACGGGAAGAAGAACAGGCACTGAAAAGACAGAATTGGGTTATGCATGGGCAAGGTGCATTAGCATGTGCTTTTTCTTTGGTGCGGGCTGTGTAAATTTATGTTCCCCAATCCGAAAAATCAGGAATTTCATTATTTCATCCGGCGTCTCACCGCGTTGAGGAGAGGCGCCAGCGGCAGGCTGACGGGCAGCAGGCCCGAGGAGAAGGAGCGCAGCGTGATAATGGTGGAGCCGTCCACGGAGACAAAGTCCACGTCCACCACGTCCAGCCAGCTCAGCGAGGCCGTGAAAAAGTGCAGCGTCGCCCGCGCCTGGCTCGACCACTCCGACATCTGACCGCAGGGGCGGGCACACCGGCGGGGTGCGCGGGTTACCGACCCGACTCGGGACACATTTGGTATACAGGGTAGGTATGTACAAGTGCAGTTACGTTGAGTGTGAAGCAGCTGTGTCATGGTTTCCTGCGGAAGGAGCTGTTTTAACGACCAATGTTCACGATAAGCTCTGGTAAACTCAGACCCCCTGCCCGGTACCGCCGCCGTCCACCGACTCACACGGTTTTCACTTGGCACTTGACGCCGGCGCGGAGCTGTTTGGCGGCGCGGACCAGCGCCAGCAGGCACACGCTGGGCGTGGAGCCGGCCCGCCACGTCTCCTCGAACATGTGCGGCGTGCGCAGGCCGGGCAGCCAGCGGCCGGGCCGCAGCGCGCCCTGCAGGTCGGCCTGCCACCGGGTCAGCGAGTACAGCGCCGCCGGCGGCGTGGTCACTGCCGCAGACACAGCGACAGCGGTCAGGCCGAGGGGCGGAGAGGGTCAGAGACTCTTTTATCCAATCACACACTCACTCTTCACCTACAGTAGGTACTCGTTCACGACTGCACTTGTCCACAGTCCATCCAACCACCAAACGCCCAGCCGGAGCCGCCTTTCCACTACTCCATCGGCTCGCTCGTTCACTCAAAAGCTTCATCACGCACTTCACTACTCACCGTAAGTACTCCTAGTCTCCATCCATCAAAGATAATTCACTCATCCACTCACTCATACACTAACTCATCGTCCTTACTGACTTAGCATATACCTATGCTAACCGAGTTCCCCCTCACTCATCCAATGACTCGCCCACGTATCAACTCATGCACTCACGCACTCCCTCACTTACTTACACACGCACGCACGCACGCACGCACGCACTCACTCACTCACTCACTCACTCACTCACTCACTCACTCACTCACTCACTCACTCACTCACTCACTCACTCACTCACTCACTCACTCACTCACTCACTCACACACTCACTAACTCACGCAAACTGACTCATCAAACTCACGCACAGACTCATTAATTCACTCACTCACTCACTCACCCACTCACTCACTCACGCAAACTGACTTCTAACTCACGCACAGACTCACTCACTCACTCACTCACTCCTCGAACTCACCGTCGGCTGACTCACTCACACTCTCACTCACTCACTCACTGACTCACTCACTGAGTCCTCAAACTCACCGTCGGCTGACTCACCGTCCAGATCCACATCGGACCAAGCCGGTGTCATGACGGGCGGAGGCCCGCCGCCCTGCTCCATACTGGAGCTGGCCATGCCGCTCCCTCGGCAGAGCCCGCGCTCACGGCTCGCTCACGGCTCGCTCACGGCTCGCTCACGGCTCCGGCGCGCTCCGCGGGCAGCTCCTCTGTCCCAGCGCGCCGGAGGGGCGGCCCGACCGGCTATCTCGGCGAGCGACGGCCATTATCGGGCGGCCCGATAGCGGGGTCGGCCGCCACTGCCGCCGATACCCGTGACGCAGCGGTGACAATACGATTGGCGACTGGGACTCTGATTGTGAGTGACCCTGCAGATTGCAACAGCGGGCGCAGGTCACACCCATGATCTCCGCTCACGTGTCGGGAGGGCTGGGTGGGGATGAGCGGGCAACGTTTGTTGGGTAGTCGGCTGAGACGGGTGTGGCTTTCATCTTGTGTTGTTCCTTGAAGCTTTTAGGCATGATACCGTGACGAAGAAAATTTGACGTGGGATTTTTATTGTCTGACGTTACGCAAGAGCTCTGATAAGCCAGTACATTCGCACCCCTCATTAGTGAGTCAGGTGACAGCTCTCCGAGAGTACCTACATGCCTTCAGGTGCGGCATGCCGAATTTGTGTGATTTAGCAGGGTTTTTGTTATCGAGCGCGCGATATTCTGTAGATTCTTTGTTAGATAAACGGCTGATGGGACATTTGGCTTATGAGTGTCTTCCTTATAGACTGGTTAGCTCAGGCACGTCTTGCCTGCCGACTGACAATTAGTAGGTACGGCCCTCCAGGTATTTAGTGGTTGGTTGCCAACATCACAATAAGCGATCTGCATTGATGAATACGTCTAATGGCTGTTGAAAACCATTGCAGAAGTGTGTGCACGAACCCTCTTCTCTTTCTATTGAGTCATTTTACAGGAGTGTCTCTGTCATTCAAAGTTATTACACCAAAAGCACATAGGCTAACCAACCACTCTTTTGCTGGAGGGCCGTACCCCTATATATGGCCTTGGCCGTACCTATATGTTCATAATAATAGCTGCGCGACAATATAAATTTAATTTTTAATGGTACTATCAATAGGAGATAAACTCAAGCAGCTTTTCATCACAACTATTCATCACCTATTCATAAAAGTGCATCAAATCATCTCAAGTATTGCTGTTTCATGAGTGACTGCTGGATCGCATGCTGAGATCCAGTTTGGTTGGCTCAGGCGATAACTTGGGGCAAACTCTCACCTTCTATAGCCGGGCAACTGGAAGATCCAGCTAATCGCCTTCGGAATAAAGCTTTTAATTTATATTAAACAGCCGTGATGGCTGGCCGCATTTCTCCCCAGCCCCTGGAATTCATACATGCCCAAACCTAGCGGAATCATGCATCACGTGACTGTCAGTGAGGTCGCTGAAGGCACCGTGCAACGGAAACCCAGGAGGAAAGCTCGTGTACCAGAAGTTTGCACAAATTGCGGGAATGGTTCCTCTGTCTGACATACCTGTTGCCGTGCAGCTGCCGAGCTGACAAAGCCTAACGACAAGGGTTAGAAGCCGCGGGCAGACGTCCCTCGCCACTGCGCTGAGAGGAAAACGGCGAGCGGAGAGCTGGCCCGCGCCCCCGGCGGACACGGGAAACATTCCTGCTACCCGCTGAACGGTGCATGTACAATGAACTGCAGAGGAACAGACCCCCAGAAACTGGAGCATGGTATGCAATGTAGCAGCCCCTCCCCTGCATTGATAACGCTGAACAACCTGCTGCATGATGAGTAATCAGCCATGCTCCGGTAACCAAGGTGCAGTAACCCCTGCCAAGAAAGAGGAGAGGTGCAGTCCTGTTAGACGACTGGCCATGACAATGCCGCTGATAAGTGTGATGCCCTTGATCTTGGTGCTGTTTTTTATATGTTCAGTCCATGAGCCGGGTGTCTAACACCGGTCTCACGTCAGTCTCACAAGTCGCAGTTCATAGCGCTGATGAGACGATGCAGAGGCGATATGGAGCGCTGATGAGACGATGCAGAGGGGAGATATAACTGTCGTGCGCCGGTCCGGGGCGGCGCTCCACTCAACTGTAGATAGCACGCCTTCCTGCGTCACTGCCATGAAACTATCGGTGCGCTGGCTATCAGTTATCAGTGAATGCGTGACTTTAGCAACCGCTATATGTGACGCAGGGATTGGTCGGCAGAATTGGACCCTCAATATCCGGATAGAAATCAAGGATAAATAAAAAATATTATTTCGTCACGGAAACAGACGTGTCTCTCCAAAATAAGAGTCAATGTAGCTTGAATACTGAACAGCCGTCCCATGCACCCAGGTCCTAAGAGTCTTCCTGTTCCAATGAAATACGTTTTTACTTTTTACTTTGCAACTGTGGAGTGTGGATAACGTTGTGAATAAGGCCACCAAATCATGGGTACCATCATGGGTACCTTATACGCATGATAAAGTGCAAGATATAATGAAGTTCAGCTTGTTTGTTTTATTGGGTAAGGCCTTTTCGGTCTGAATTTTGACAAAACCATTTCAGAGCTGGAAGGATGATAGGAATTAGGAGGAGACATTGGTCTGGAAGTTCAGCATACCGACCGGTAGCCTATATTCGGTTGCGCCACCACGCGCTGTTCAGTGGCCCTCTAGCTGCACTGGTCGCGTCTGAGCCCCGCCCGGCGCCCCGCCGCGCCGCTCCGGCAGTGCCGACTCTGGCCGCAGTCGGGTGCGCATGGCCGTCCATTCCGGCGGCGCCTGAGGGGCCCGCCGGCCGTGCCAGACAGCGCGGCGGCACCGGCGCGCAATGTGCGTGCCCCGCTCCCAGACGGCCGCTGCAGACCGGCGGTCAACGAACCGGGCGCCGCTGCGTTAACGAGCCGTCAGCGGCGGCTGGGAACGGCCGCCGGCACTGGGTGTGAGCAGTGCGTGCAGACGGGGAGTGTCCCGGCGCGGCTGCAGACGCACCTGGGCCCGCCGCCGGCCAGTGCAGACCCGCCGGCCCACATATTGGATCACCAATCACCATGGACCGCTGGTGAATTTCAAACAGCGTCAGCTTATGACGTAATCTATAGGCGTCATTTACTACGCAGAGCTCTTGAAGTTTTATGGGTGCGTCCCGTTGTGACTGGGACCAGAAGATGTCTTGCTAATTTCAGACCGATGGACACCGCTGGCGGCTCAGCTCTGTGCGGAGTACAAAGTGTTCTCGGGTCAGTGGTCGGGTGGCGGTGATAAGTGGCACCGTTCGGCGATTTCCGAATCACCGACCGCAGCCATGCCCGGTTGGCACAGGTGCCGGCCGCGCCCCTCCCAGTCGCAGGAGGGGCCGGTGCGGGCGCCCGCTCGCCGCCGCCGCCCCGGTCACCCCGAGGGCAGTTCTGGGACCGCTCGGCTCTCCGCTCGGCTCTCTCCGAGCCGGGAATGTCCGGACCGAGAGACTGCACCGGCCGACCGGGACAGGTCCACTGACGCCCGTTAGCTGTCGGCAGGCGGCGAAAACCTGCTCATACTGTCAACAAACCATCGTTGCGTCACGTAAAAATAAGCGTCAAATCTAGTGTTAAGTGATAACAGGGTCATTAGTTCTAAGACACCTTTTTCTTTTTAAATCAGTACGAGATTGGTGCACTTGATCGTAAGGCATGGAGTTGCCGAGGGTTTGGTTTCGATTTATCAATGATCTGGGCCCTGGGGCATCACTTCTCAGCATGAGAAGCGCAAGTTATCGTCGCTATTTACCGTCCTTTCATTCTTTGTACGATTGAAATTGAAATATAAGCCTATAGCGGTAAAATGAAGTCGTGCTGCGCTATTCTCCTCCCCACGCGCCTGCTCTGAGACGGGGGAGTACCGCGGCCTGGCGCCGGCGTTTTTCGGTCACAGACGGTTCCCACGGCGCTCTGCCTGCAGTGCCGCTGAGCGCCGGCGGCGACCGAGCGGTCCGCTCCGGTCCGGTCCGGTCCGGCGCCGCCGAGCCGACCGGGAAGAAGCAGCTCCGACCTTTCCCCACGAGTTTTCCTCTCCTCGGTAAATAAACAGCCGCTGCCCAGTGAGCGAGCCCGGACCTCATCAGAGATAATTTGCCACTGCTCAATTCGGAATTCGGACAGCATATATCCTATTTATTGTTTAGAATGAGGGGTCTCCTTAAATCACTTTAAGCATAGGCCTCTGCACCTTTCTACATATGCCGGTACTTATTCAGAAATTTATGCGTCAAGTCATTAATTAAGACGCTAAGTCATGTGAAGTAAAATGTTCCGATAGATTTCACTGACCGGGCCGACGACGAAATTTGGTATTTGGAAACATCAAAAACTTTTGCAAAATACGCGGAGGCCCGCGGAGCGAATCTTGTGAAAACTTTAAGTCCCTATTCTCATCCACTAGGCTGTTGGCTAAATCCCGGAGGGGGTATGTTCAGCACTTTGGCCACAATTTTACGGCACAAAGAATGTAATCTAATCTGAACAGGAACTGGTGCGAGTAATCGCATCACGGCATTGCACCGCTCATGGGCATGTCACAAGATTCTAACAATCGTATGAGCAGTCAGATCAGAGCATTACTTGCATTTTGGGGGGTAGACTGACGTGTTGTGGATAAGTGTAACATTTGAAAGCCACTGCCAAAATAAGAAATCCTTGAACTTCGCGGCGGATTTCTACCCAGCAAGCTCCCATAACAAAGCAGTCACCTGACCCCAGCGGGGGTCGGAGGGTCGCCTGCCCCGAGGTCATTGTGCGGCCGCCCGCGTGCGCCCTGTGACCGCAGCTTCCTCTCTCCGCCGCACTGAGACCGATCGGGCTGGTCGGCGGCGGCCCTCTCAGGCATAGTGCTCCGGAAACCGGGCCGGAAACGCCACCTCACCTGCCTCCGACCGGCCAGCGCCCACGGCGACCACCACAATGGACGGAACGGAACGGGACGGGACGGTATACGGCTGCAGTCGGCTCGGCCCGGCGCGCTCCTGCACCGCGCCGGCCGACCAGACCAGCTTCCGGCGGGCCCGCTGCAGACTGCAGACGGTGCAGACCGCCGCGGTGCCCACCAGACACGTGCGAGACACGACAGACACGTGCGGCTCCCGGGTGGGGCAGGGGACTGATCATGACAGCGAGCTGTCCGAGGTGGCCGCACGCAGCGCGTGGTGTTCGGACGAGTAGTGCGGACCCGCTGCTCTGTTATATTTCAGCAATGTGGTCTTGCTG